AAAAAAAAGAATCAGTCTCCCAAGTTCTCCTAGAAAACTCAAGTACAGAAACTGGTTAGTTTGTTGAAGATATCATCATCACCGGATAATAGTGCACATCACTAGACTAAACAAGACAATTATTGTGTTTACCTATATGTGAATTATTAAGTGCAAAACCGACATTATGGCACTAAGTTTTGCTAGTTAAACAGGGAAAAAAAGATTCAGCTCAATCATGTCATGTTTCTATTTTCTTATGAATTGAGCAATAAGAGTAATAATCCAAGTAATGTTAAAATCAATCGTTGTGGCCAACAGATTGCCAAGATTGATGATATGCATCCAAACTCAATTTCAACGATAACTAATTATAGAGGTAGTTCTACTATTATCCTCCTACTGTAAGCTATTCCTCTAATCTCCTGCAGTGCACTCATTGCTGTAACGAGAATGCAATAATGCTCCAGCTTTACTCGAGGCTCACAACTTGCACCACTAATGACATCTCTTCAGAATCTCAGTTACCCATCCTGTGGCTGAACTATGATTTGGTTCTAATACATGGACTTTTTTGTTCATTTGACTAACAGGAAATCACCAAAAAGAAAGATTAAGGTACACTTAATTGAAAATAGACAAAACATGCCCCCTAAAAAAAAAGAATCAAGTAGGGCAACGAGCTAGTTTATCTCCATACAGACACAAGAAACCAATAAATTTAGAGAAACCTTGATGCAAATACATGTATTTTTCATGTTAAAATCGCCAGCATTCAAGGTATGAACAGAACTTCACTTCAAAGACCAGCAGCTATGAGCAAAGAGGATTCTACATGCTAGGTAAGGAAGCGGCCAGAAAGCTGAACATCTCATACCCCTAGCACCTTGCCAGCACAACTCAAAACCCTCTTTGAAGCAATTTATCCAAAGAAAACTGCAACGAAATTGAATCCATTATGCATGACCTATATTCTCATCTGCGTGCAGCCAAGGATCGTTCCTCTACACCTTGTCATTGGAGTAACTTGACGCCACACTGACCTCTCACTTCCGAGCGTCAGAACATCAACATCAGAAATCAATTTAATGTCCCAATTCCAGCGCTCCGGGCCAATAACCCCTCCAACAATATAGATATCATCTCCCAGACCTATCATTGCAAAACCAATTCTTCTACGAAATTCAGATGCCGAAACTACCATCTTCCGTGTCTCTCTTTCCTGCTTGTAAATGAGCCAATGACTCAGTACATAAAGCTCATCCCTAACGACAGCCATGGGGCCTTGGAGCCAACCATACTCATGGACTGTCCAACCCTGCTTCACATTTTCCAGAACCTGAACAGTTGACAAACCTTTGTGCAATACGTGAACTTTACCGGCAATAACCACTCCCGAGCAAGCAGAGTTGTGTGTGCGATGGAGGTCAGGGATCGGATCCCAAACATTCTTCTCGGGATCATAGATTTCCGCTCTTGATATTGATTTTCTGCAGTTAGTAAAACCCCCTGCAACAACTATCTTCCCATCAAACACACAACAAGCGAACATGGCACGAGGCACAATCATAGATGCGCACAGACTCCATTCTCTGGTTACCGGGTCATACGACCATACCTCATCAGTGGCAAAACTTCCGTCTTGGTCACCAGTTAATGGATCCACAGCATCACTGCCACCACCTAGAACAAAGAGTTTTCCAGCAGTAGAGACCACACCAAAGTGAGCAAGATGTCTGATATTCGAGGGAAGAACAGGAAGGGTAATCCAAAGATCACGCATAGGATCGTAAAGCTGCCACAAATTATCAGGGTCAAAGGCACAGACACACAAAAATTCTTCAGATGAATTGACCTCCTTTCTTGCCTTAAATAGTTCGCGACTTCGAATAGCAGCTTGCCAGGAACGGGAAACAAGTTCTAATTTTGGATGAAGATATAACGGAACCCGCGCAAGACACCTGAGTGCAACAGCATCAGGGAGCCCTTCGATGAGTACAGACATTATGGCCAAGCTCGCATCTACCTCAATCAGGAAATACTGAAGTGATGGTGGTAACTGTTATTTTTTGAAAGTCAACCTGAAACATTAAAAAAACAAATTAATGTAAAGATAAAGAACACACACTATAAACCATACAGCTGTACTGAAAATGCAAAATGTCAATTATCTTTATCCATCTATCGCATGACCAAAGCTCCATGTGCTTTCTAAATGCCCTTTCCCTCCCCAATCTTTATGCTCATTTGGACATGTAAAAAGAAGACAAAAGGCCACCTCTCTCCAGACACAAGAAAGGAGTGGGAAAAAAAGAACCTTTAGTAGCACGAACAACAAACCTGCAGGGTTGAAGAGGGAGACAACAAAGAATTTGGTTTATCAACTGCACTCACATCCCCCTCTATTAGAGATTTGACTATTTGATATCCTCATCAAGCACTAACAGCTTACTTGAAGTGCTACTACATGGATAAGTCACAACAATCTTCTAGAGCACAAACTTTCATTTCGAAAAGTTAGATTTAAAGACCACCCAATAGGAGAAATGAAAGATTCCCCTTTATAATTTCAATATTCCTCATAAGATCCAAAGCACCAGAGAATTGTGAGTCACATTAGCATAGGCAATGACAAATCAAAGACCTGGAAAGCACTTTCATTGCAGAGCCATATTAGTTAAATATCATCTGTTCTTTTTATTTTTTCCCGAGAAGGCAAATATTATATGTTCTACATCTATGAACCTCCAAAGCATTTCAAAGAGAAGAAAGTTTTTTTTTAACAAAGACTAATAGCCCGTTTGACAAAGCTTTTTTTTGGGCCAAAAGTGCTTTTTTTTTGCCAAAAGCACTTTTGGCAAAAAATTGAGGTGTTTGGCCAAGGGTTTGAAGGAAAAAAAGTGTTTTTGAGGAGAAGCAGAAGCAATTTTGGAGAAGCAGAAAAAAGTAGCTTCTCTCCAAAAGCACTTTTCTGAGAAGCACTTTTGAGAAAAATACACTTAGAAGCAGTTTTCAAAAGCTTGGTCAAACACTAATTACTGCTCAAAAGTGCTTTTTTAATTAATTAGCCAAACACAAACTACTACTCACAAGTACTTTTGAGAAAAACACTTCTCAAAATAAGCTGATTTTAGAAACTTGGCCAAACGGGCTATAAGAAGGTACTGTATCAAATACTTGGCTTGTCAACTAATTTTCCTGATTTTGGCAAAACAATATGGCCCTACATGAAGTAGCTACAAAGTCCAAAACTAAGCCAAGTTTTAATTGTGACTAAGGTCTTATAGGAGAGAGGCCTGCTGTAAACTTGTTCCACAATTAATCACCTCTTCAACAGTCCCAACGTGACTAGCAATGATCGGTAGCATTTCTTTTCATCGAAAATAGCCTACTTAAATACTCCATTATTTAAAAAGTTGATATATTTTCCTACTTCCAACCCAGAAATTCTTTAGAGTGTCATTTAACTTTTGGCAAGAGTTGATGGTTGACACCTCAATAAGTACCGAGTGCTTTAAAATTAAGCAGATCTTATGGCAGGAGAAAATGTATCATTTTCTATTTGTAGAGAAGCAATTGGAGTAAATGAATATTAACAATATCTCTTAGAAATGTATCACAGTTGATGGATTCACATTAAATTTGCTAAAAGAAAATCCCAAAAACTCAGCTTGCATAAACTGACCAATGAAACTTCCGGCGGACCTGATTTCTCAGTGCATTGACAATTTACTACAACAACAACAACAACTACTACCCAATAAAATCCCACAAAGTGGAGTCTGGGGAGGGTAATGTGTACGCAAACCTTACCCCTACCCTGATAGGGCAGAGAGGCTGTTTCCGATAGACCCTCGGCTCAGAAAAAAGAAAAAGAGGAGACAATTCATTAGTAACTCCAGTAGAAACCATAATAGTAACAGAAGCATAACAACCAAAAGATAAATGACATGCAATAACAGTAATCAGTAACTCGCAAAGCTTTACTACCCCCTAACCTACAACCCTAATGCTTGACCTCCAAACCTTCCTATCAAGGGCCATGTCCTCAAAAATCTGCAGTCGTACCATGTCCTGCCTGATCACCTCTCCCCAATACTTCTTAGGCCTCCCTCTACCTCTTCTCGTACCCACCACGGCCAACCGCTCACACCTCCTCACCGGAGCATTAAGGCTTCTCCTCCGCACATGCCCAAACCATCTGAGCCTCGCTTCCCGCATCTTGTCATCCACAGGTGCCACGCCCACCTTCTTCCGAATATCCTTATTCCTAATCTTGT